GCGCGGAGCCCCGGGCTGCGGGAGCCGGGCGTCGGTGGCGGGCGGGGAGGCGCGGCCGCCGGGCTCGGAGCTCGGGGCCCGCAGTGTCGCGCCCACTCTAGCTGCTGGACGACTTTGCGAGTCGGCGATCCCGAGGGGTCTCCGACGGCTTCCTGCCGAGCCTCTGTGCCTGTAAGCACTGCCCTGCCGACGCCGCGAGCTAAAATCCCGGGCTTCCCTCCGGCTTTGTCCACTGTACGTCAGATGGGCTTGTGCTGGCTGGTGTTTTTTATTCTTTTTATTGAAGGAATAAAGTTTGCTGATACGTGGTGACAAACTTAGTGATATGAACTCTGATTTGCTTGTGGTGGGCATTTCATAAAGTTGGTGGGATGGGCCTGGGAGTGCACACCACTTATGTGAGAAGTTTAGGCCACTCTTGATCCCTTATTTAAGTGCTTTGAGATAGACTCAGTGAAGCCTGCCAGGCCTTTTACCGGGGTGTGTGGGAAAATTGAACGTTGCTCAGGAAGAGCCTCTGTGTCTAGCATGTGTGAGAGTGATCTAGGGCTAACGAGTGGACTGGGAAGTGCTTTAATTAGTGTAATTACCCAGGTTGAGGGCATTGAGATGTGTACTGAGGCCTTTAACACCGGCATCATAGAGGTTTTACTGTAATGGGTAGCTAACTGTCTAGTTCAGATAGCTGTATTCTTTTACATTCATTTGCTGTCTATTTTCAGCATCAGCTGACAGACTCATGTGCAGAGTTCAAGCTGCAGGTAGCAGCTTTTGCATTAGGGATGCAAAGACCTCAGAGGTGTCATTCCTACCTTCAAAGAGCTTATAGACCAGTGAGAAGACAAGCCTTGAAATAATGCCATCGTGGGTCTTGTGCAAGACCTTGCCACAGAGCTGGGAGGACCCTCACTGCAGAGGTTTCCATGGAGCTTGCGAATAGTTCAGAGGTTATGATGTATACGCCTTCAGTACACAGTACATACAACGTAGCCGCGTGTTTTGTTATAATCCACAGTTCAGCATTCATGTGTAAGGTCTTGAACTTCAAGACCCATGGTGTGATAGCAAGATGTTACAGCGTGGACACCAGATCACCAGTCTTAGGACCTCCTCAAGATCAGATAAAACATCTTACCATTTTTGCATATATGTGCCTCTAAGTTGTTTTCCCTTGAACTTACTTGTAAAACTGGAATAATTAGAGTTTTAATTTTCCAACCCCTTTCAGGTATTCTCCATCTGTAAAAATAGATTGACATGATCTAGCAAGGTGAGATTGATTGCCAGCAAAAATAAAGACAGTAAGTAGTTTTCTAGGGACATCTGTATGTACGTTGGGGAACATGGTCAAGAATATTCTTAAGAGTGGGACCAGCAGTTGGCGTAATGGCTATGTCGCTGGACTCCCACGTACTCAACCGCGGTTTGAGTCCCGGACCCAGTGGCTTAAACTCATGCTGGGCGCGTGTGCGTGCGTGCCCAAGATCCCGAGAGGAGAATGGAGAAGGGATTGCAACGTGGCCATCCCCCTTGGGGGTTATTTCCTGCTTTCTGTCTCTCTGTCTCTCTCTGTCTGGTGAGCGCACATGCCCTATAGCGAAAACCTCTCCAAAAAAAAAAGAATATTCTTAATAGTCTTATTTATAATATCAAAAAGTTGGGAACAGTGACAATACTCATTATCAGAGGAGTGGATGGAAAATTGTGGCGTGCTTTACTAATGGGCTACTGTGTAGTTGTGTACATAGACTGACTGTGGCCACATGTGTGAACATGCATAAATTGTGGAAATACAATGTATGAAAAGAAAAGCTGCAAAGTAATATATAGAGTTCAATGCCATTATATAAGCTCAAAATCATATAAAACAGGTATAGTCTTTTAGATATATAGAAAACCTATAAAGAGAATTCAAGTTGGTGGGGAGGCAAGGGAATGTGATCAGGGAAGGGCAGATCAGAGGGGATTTCAAAGGTATTGGTAATTACGAAATCAGTATAAGCCAAGTCAAGCTGCAATAACAAGTAGCTCTAAAATATCTGTTGTGTAAAGTACCAAAGATTTGTTTTCTTGAGTTTCATGTCTAACTTGGATCCACACGTGACTGCTCCACACAGTCATGCCATCTTTGGTGCTGTCAAACAGGAGTTCACACTGGTAGGGGAAAAAATGTTTAAAATTTGAACATTGGCAGTTGTATGTTTTCACCAGTGAATGATATGTCCCTCCTACTTATATTTCATTTAAGAAAAGTAAAATATATTGGGACCAGCAAATGGAGTAATGGTTATGTCACTGGTCTCCCACGTAGTCAACTACGGTTTGCATCCCAGACCTGGTAGCTTAAAACTCAGGCCAGGTGCATGTATGCGTGTGCCCAAAAGCCTGAGAGGAGAATGTAGGAAAAGGGATCACAGTGTGGCCATCCCCTTGGGGGATGATTTCTTACTTTCTGTCTGCCTCTGGCAGCAGATGCACCCTATAGCAAAAATCTCTCTTTAAAAGAAGAGAAAAAGAAAAGTAAAACATGACTTGGGAAACAGGAAATACCATTCTTCCCTGCTTTCTAACAGAGGAAGGATATAGCTATCCTTGAACAGTAGTTTTGTGCACTACGGTCAGGTTTCCTTTCTTAAACTGTTATTTATTATCCATACAGATTGGAAGAAGGTGTGTGTATGTGTATACCACATATCTATGTATATTCTATTTCATAAGAAAAAAATGGAGGCTAAAAAACAAAAAAAAAAACTTGGCGTACAGCCATGTACTTTCAATTTTTTTTTTTTTGAGAGGTTTTTGTTATAGGGCGCATGCGCTCACCAGACAGAGAGAGACAGAGAGACAAAAAGCGAGAAATCATCCCCTCAAGGGGGATGGCCACATCGCAATCCCTTCTCCGTTCTCCTCTCGGGATCTTCGGCATGCACACACACGTGCCCGGCGTGAGTTTTAAGCCACTGAGTCCGGGATTCGAATTGCAGTTGACTACATGGGAGTCCAGTGACATAGCCATCACGCCAACTGCTGGTCCCTTTTTTTTGAGAGGTTTTTGTTATAGGGCACATGCACTCGCCAGACAGACAGAGACAGAGAGAGGAAGTGAGAAATAACCTTGGGGTGGGGGATGGCCACGCTGCAGTCCCTTCTCCTCCATTCTCCTTTTGGGATCTTGGGCACACACACACACACGCCCGGTGTGAGTTTAAGCCACCGGGTCTGGGACTCAAACCGTGGTCTGAGTCCCAGTGTGTGTTTTCAATTTTTAAAGAAAGTATTTTATTGTAGAATTTGCCCCATAAAGGGCTTGAATACCTTTTTGTTAGATTTGTTCCTAGATATATGATAATTTCTGGTATAATTTCTGGTATTAAAATATCTTTGTTTTCTTATTGTTAACTGCTGATGCTTGGAAAATGTAAACGGGCTAAAAGAAAAGTCAGCCAACAATATGTACAGGTAGGAAAGGAAATTAAGAAGAGATGCTTATCACCTCCATCAAAGAGAATGATAGACCAAAAGCACAAAGAATACCACTCTGTACGCACTGATGGACAAAGGTCAGAACATATGACAACATAATATGTTGACGAGAAAGTGCATCCAGTGGAGCTTACACATTGTGATGGGGATGCACTTTGGAAAGCAGCTTGTGAATTACTCTTTGTGATCCAGCAGTTCTTAGGAAATAGCCAAGCTGAATTCTTGCACATGTGAAAGGAAACGTAACAGCAGAATCTCCAGGAGCAAAGACCTGAGACTGGCCTCGGTGTCTGTTACTAGACTGGTGCATTCACACCACGGAATGTTATACAACATTCAGGATGGAACTACAGCTACAAGAACAGTGGTTGAATATTGGCAATGTAGTATTAAGACCAGAGTAATGAAAAGCATGATACCCTTTTCATAAACTTAAAACAGCTGAATAAAAAATACTTTATAGAAACGTTCGTAGATGCAGTATTACTATTTGATAAGGAAAGAAATGATCAACATATGATTGAAATGTAGTTTTCTTGGGTGGATGGAGCAGGACTTAAGAGGATATGGAGAAAGGGAGCGAGCCTGTGGCATGGTGCTTAAGGTATCTGGATCCCACACAGTCCACTGCGCAGTTCAAGCCCCATCCCTGGTGGATTGAGAAAACGCACTGCGCACATATGTGTGTGTACCCAAAATCCCAGAGGAAAATGGAAGAGAAGGGATTGTGGCATGGCCATCTCTCCTGGGGAATGATTTCTCATTTTCCCCTTCTCTCTGTCTCTCTCTCTGTCAATCACATACACCCCGTAAGAAAAACTAAAAAGCATTCAAAGCCCCACAATCTCAAATGGAGGGAGAAATGGACGAGAAGAGATTGTGGGTAGACCATACCTCATGGTAGGTGCTTTCTTGCTGTCTCTTGCCTCTCTGGTGCGTATAGTGTGTCCTTTGATAAGTTAAGCAAAAATAGGGTATAGGGCAGAGATTATAGACTGGTCACCTGTTGGTGTAATTTATCCCAAAATTGTGCTTGGTTTTTCTGTTTCTTTGCTAATTTTGTTCATCCTCCCTCCCTCCCTCTCTCTCTTCCTTTCCGATGATCAAATCTTCAGATTTCTTTTGCAGTTAATAGTGATGATAATTGTTAGTGCTGTGCCAAGCCAGCGTTTGCCCATTGCTCCTGTTTCGGGCGGGACTATGGTCAGTGGTGGAATTGGGAGCAGAGATGTTGCTGCCACTACAGGCCAGAGCAGTTAATTACTGCAGATCTTCCTTAGCCTCTTCTTCGTGTGGTGCCCCGCAGCAGCATTGTCAGTCTGGAACCCTAGACCCCGATCACCAGAACCCTCTTTCTGGTATTTAGTTGGCACAGGGCATTAAGGAGAAATAATCCTTTATTATTTAAAACCACTAAGATTTCAGAGTAGATTTCCCTGCGGCTTAATCTGAATTATCCTGAATGATACAGTTCCCTACATTTATAAATCGGGATATTTTACATAAAAATCTAAATTTTAGTCATGAAAAAGTCAAAATATCTGGCTATACTGACCTCACTTTTTTAATGACAGCAGTTGACCAGAGGTGACATGGATTGCCCCCTTTACACTAGGCATATGCTCCTCAGTTTACCACAGACTGCTTCCTATTTGTAGCCCTCAATATGTGGTACATAAATTGTATCTTCCATTTTTAAGTAGCCTCATTTGTTTAGTGTTTGGGAGTGAAAAATTAGTATTTTAATCTAAAAGCTAAGTTCTTTAAAAATGCCAACTAAATAGATACTAGTATCATAATTGAATTTCAGAGGGACTAACCATCCAGTGAGTTCATCTAGGAGGTGAGTGGCCTCAGTGATGTCTTCCAATGATGTGTCCAAGAATAAGTGTTATAAAATACAGGAGAGGGAACCAGCAGTTAGTGTAATGGCTATGCCGCTGGATTCCCACGTAGTTGACCGCGGTTTGCATCCCAGACCCGGTGGCTTAAAACTTACGCCGGGTGCATTTGCGTGTGTGCCCAAGATCCCGAGAGGAGAATGGAGAAGAAGGGATTGCGGCATGACCATCCCCTCTGGGGGGTGATTTCTCGCTTTCTATCTCTATGTCTCTCTCTGTCTGGCAAGCGCACGTGCCCTATAACGAAAACCTCTCAAAAAAAAAAAAAATACAGGAGAATACTTTGTGATTCTGGCTAAGGCAACAGTACCATATACTTGTAATAGTACTTCTGTCTTTGAAGGAAGAATATTTTCTATACATATCTCATATAATTCATACTAACTCAGGACTTAGGTAGAACACATGATGTTCTTCTGGTTTGTAGATGAGGAGACTGGGGTATTGAGTAATCAGTTACCTTGCCTGAGTCACTGAGCTGGGCAGAGCCACAGCAGTGGGACGGGTCCAGAGCCTTAACTCCATGTTGGGAATTTAATGCTTCAGAGGTCAGTGAGCACATTTGAGTTGCTCATTTACAGTGACTCATAATTTCATTTTGGAGGCATTTTCGAGAGACTGCGTTATTACATATGGTATGTATTTGAGTCAGGTTCCGGTCTGCCCTGAAAGGTTAACATTGGCATACACAGTCCAAAAAATATACTAGAAATGTTACTTTGTCTATGCTTTAAGATTGTATTCCTCAGGTTTTTTCTTCCTCTTTTACTTTGCTTAAGACACTGTTATAGCTAATTTGAATGCTCTGATTAGAGTCTAGTTAACAGGGAATGCAACTTAGAATTATTCTGAAAGGTGTAAGAAAATGATTTAAGGTTAACTAGCATTCCTAGAAATATGAGACTTCTCTCAATTACGTTTGTGTGGTAGCATCTGCCTATGTATCAGATTGCCGTAAAAGCTGTTAAAATTTAAGAGGAATCCCATTTGCAAATTCAGTCACCATTGTGTTTTAGGAGAGCAGACAGAACTGTAAATCGAATTTAAGACAAATTCATTTTCATCTTAAATTTGACTAAACACGTAGACAGTTGTTGACTCTTGACAATTATGAAGTCAAATTGAAAAACCTTGCTTTGGACCTAAGGCCTCACTCGTAGATCAGTGAAGAGAAATTTAGAACTGGGCAGTTTTTGTTGAATAGTAACAGTAAGATCTGAGAACACCTGGAACTGTACAGAAGTGGCTGTCGGGACCAGCAGTTAGCATAATGGCTATGTCGCTGGACTCCCACGTAGTCGACTGCGGTTTGAGTCCTGGACCCGGTGGCTTAAAACTCATGCTTGGGCACGTGTGCATGCGTGCCCAAGATCCCGAGAGGAGAATGGAGGAGAAGGGATTGCAGCGTGGCCATCCCGTCTAGGGGGTGATTTCTCCCTTTCTGTCTCTCTGTCTCTCTCTGTCTGTCTGGCGAACGCACATGCCCTATAGCGAGAACCTCTCCAAAAAAAAGAAGTGTCTGTCCCTTTGGGCTTTCAGGATAGATGATGGGTTGGAAGAGACCAAGAATTTTATCAAAGTTTTAATGCTAATGCCTTTTTTTTTTTAAGAGAAATTATTTGCTGCTCACACAAAGGGATTTTCTTCCTTGTCTTACATAGATCCATTTGAACCACAGCGGTGTCTCCCTGTGAAGAAAAGTCGACAACAGCTTCAGCGAGAAAGAGCTCTCCTAGAGCAGAGGCAAAAACTTGGACTTCAAGATGGAGCAGCCTCGTTACCTCCAGAGCAGCTGCTTTCTGTTCCGAAACAGAGATTTCACGCTCAGGGAGCACATTCTTCTCCCTCTCCTCTTTCCAGTCCTCTCACCTCTCCTGATGGTGATGAGAAACCAAGGGAGCTGGGGCTGGAGAGTTGCCGTGATGGTCACAGAAATCCCGAGATTCTACCTCCAAAGCCAGATTGCAAATCGGAGACAAAGAAAGTGGAATTGTTAGTAAGTCTATATACTCAGGAGTCTTTGCGTTTTACCGTTTTGTTCCATTGGACTTTGGGAAACTGTACTTTGTTCTTTTTTAAACATTTTCTGTTTTTCACTCAAGCCTTGGGATGCAGTGAATAAACTATTGAAAAATAGCAATCCCTTAAATATAAACCAGGCACTGTTAGGCCTTTTATGTTTTTTGCGTCATTTAGTTTTCACCTTAAAGATGAGGTATCTGGAACTCAGAAAAGAAGTATTTTCATAGAGCTGATACACAGCTATGTAAGTGGTAGAGCAGAGACATGTGCTACTAGTCTGGCCTCTTCTTACTAGAAGCAGTTCTTTTTTGTATCGTGCTACTTCCCACATTGAACCCAGATTTCAGCTTTTAGATTGAATCTTGCATCTGTCTAGAAGTTTGAAGGAATTGTCAAAGGGGAAAGTGGAAGAAATTGGGGAGCTAATTATATAATTCAGTTGCATTGTTAGATTTTTCAGATTTTTATGTATTGTGTGTGTATTAGAAACAACCTCCAGGCTGACCCCATAGCCTAGTGACTCAGGGAACTAGATCCCACATGATTGACCATGGTTTGAATCCCAGCCCCAGTGGCTTGAAAGACACTTCAGGCTTGTGTGCATGAATGCATGCACGCCCCAAAACCTGATACAGTGGAAAAGTAGCAACGGGAGTACCTGGACCGTGCCCCATTAAGGGGTGCTCTCTCCCTCTGGTGAGCATACATGCTCTCTGGCAGTTAAAACAAAAAAAAGAAGAAGCAGTCTGCATAACTAAACCACATTTTTGCGGAAATTACTATTCTATACTGTCCTATGAGTTCTTAGAAATTCTTATTTGATAGCTTAATGTTATTTTTTTCCTAACCGTAGATAGTTTTCTGATCTCTGCTGGTCCAGATTTTATGTTGTAAGTTTAAAGTGTTTCCTGCCCACCAAGGGTTTACAACTAAGAAATCATTTTGACAGGACATGGTGAACCACTTGAATTATGAAACCAACATTGAAGAAGTGCATAAATTTAAATGTCTTTAAGCATTAAATGTCCATAAGTGTAGTTAACCAGCAAAGGCCTGAGATAAGGCAGGGGAAAACGGAATTTAAAATTAAGCTAGACAATTTAGATTAGATATCATTTAAAAAATTACTACTCTTTTATAAACTTAAGATAATTTTCATAGAAGACATAATCTAAGTATCAAGAGAAATTCCAAGGCTATGACAAGAAGAAGGGAAAGCTGAGTCATAGAGAACTCAGAGATGGACCTCATGTCTCTGGGAGAGGCAAAGTGTAGACCAGAGAACAGTAGGGGATTGGGAAAGGAAGGAAGAACTTGGTGTAGGACACCTCCATGGCCCTCAAGGGAGATGCCCCCATCAGAATAACAGAGACATTCCAGGCATCAGTGTGGCAGATCATCCAGGAGCATGGGGGCCAGTCTGGACCAAGGCACCTGGGAGAAGGTGCCTGCATGACGTATCTTTTGTCCCAGCTTTCAAATCTTAGCTCATAGTGTTTTATTCTTTTAAAAAATGTTCAAATTTGAAAAAAGTGAGCAAATTGGAAAAAGTATGAAATAAACATTGGTTTTTGCCTTGGATATGTTTAAGTGCATGGAGGCTTTTGCAAAGAAAACTCTAAAATGTATACTGTGAGCAATTTATTTTGCATATAGTACATAACTACACAGATTCTGTTGGATTTCTTTAAAAAATGCCACACCACACCAACTGCCACTTTGTAGGTCCTAGGTACATATAGAGAGTGGATTTTGCAGACCTGTTCTGTGAGCCTCTCTACTGCCAGTCACTGCCTTTGCTCCTAGTAGACCAGCATGAGCAGCAGTTGGTTTATGTAAGGGCCTTGTGAAGAAAAGCACGCAGTCTGCTAGATGAAACTTTGTACTTCAGGGTCTGAGGCTGATAAGCCGTGGATAGGGTAGCAGCCTCATAATCTCATTTTTATACTTTTTTTTGCTGCCTAGGCAAGAGAAGTCTCGTTGGGAAGTCCTCCAGCAAGAACAGCGGCTAATGGAAGAGAAAAATAAACGTAAGAAAGCCCTTTTGGCTAAAGCTATTGCAGAAAGGTGAGGCACCTGAGCCAGAAGAACCTGTCTGTACCCTTCACTCATTTCTGTCATGTTTTGTGGTTATTTTTCCTTGTCTGTTCTAAGAATCAGATATTTTCACTACAACCATTACTTTCAAGGCTAATTAAGCAAATTATGCTTTATAAATGATACTGAAATTTTAGTTTCAATTGACTTTATTTTTATTTATTTATTTTTGACAGAGTTTTTGCTATAGGGCACGTGCACTTACTGGAGCGAGAAATAGCCAGAAAATGAGAAATCACCCGTTTCCTGAGGGACATGGCCACACCACAGTCCCTTCTCCCTCGTTCTCTTGGGATTTGGGGCACACATGTACATGCGCCCAGCATGGATTTTTAAGCCGCCAGATCCGGGACTTAAACCGTAGCCAACTACGTAGGAATCCAGCAACATAATCATTACACCATCTGCTAGTCCCAGTTAAGGGTGACTTTAAGCACTACTCATTTTCAATTTATAAATGCAGTTGGCTTTTAAAATTTTAAGGGCTAGGGGGCCAGCCAGGTAGTGTAGCGGTTAAGGCAGATGGATTCCATAGGGCCGACTGGGTTGTTCAATTCCTGGACCTGGCAGCTTGAGAATCACGCCAGGTGCATGTACATGCCTATGTGCCTCTAAATTCTGGGAAAAGAATGGAGAGGGGACTGCGGCATGGTCATTCCCCATGGTCATTCCATGCTTTCGCAGTCTCTCTCTCTCTGTCTTTATCTCTCTCTCCTCTCTCTGGTGAGCATATGCACCCTACAGCAAAAAATAAATAAGTAATAAGTACTTGTATCAGAATTTTCCGTTTTAACCATCTGCATGTTGATAAGAGAGCAGTAAGTAAGTGTCAGTATTTAAAAATTAACAAATGCTGGTTTTCATTTTGGTATCAGGAGGCCTTTCTTAACTGATATGTAGAGGAATTGGGTAATCTCCCATAAGTGACTTATACTCACACAGATCTTAGTCGTGTTTCTTATGGGCATTTTTCTTAAATCATTTCCCTGTCCCCAGTGGAAGACACTGTGCTCTAAGCTCTGAGCTGTCACTGGTGACTCGGGGTCTCCATTGTGTGTAGTATGTGTGATCCAGCTTTCACTCACCTCCCATGTCAGCTTATTGGTGAGCCCTTGTCATTCACTGCACTGGGCCAGTGTCCAACAGCACAGTACCCACTTGAGCCACTCTTTACC